TCGACTGTCCGATTTCCGTCCGGTTCCGGATTGAAATGTGTGTGGAATTGACACCGCTAACTATACCGAATACTGCCTAGCGAGCGGAGTAGTACAGAAATGTATAACAAAAGGGGTTATGACTAGATAGCTGAAAATGGGTAAGTTCTGTGAGCTTTTCTGTGTATCTGATTTCCGTTCGATATCGGAGTGAAATCGGTGTGTGGAGGGACCTATAGTTAGAGAATAAAGGATATCACAGATGCAAAAACTGTGCCTAGCATTGTTTATCATATTGCACCATTACTATCCTCATCGAGTAACTACTACGCAACACGTTTCCTACCTTAAGACCCTATTTAAGATAATAAACTAAGTTTAGCGTTTGTGTGTTCACTTTGTAACATCCTGTTAACCAATGTTTATTGTTATATTTATACTGTGTATAGCGTGCTCTAATAGTTGCTATTCAAGAGGAATTGCGCAGCGGCGGTCATTTCTGTCATCACCATATGTATCCAATGAAGTATGCATAGATCCAGCTACATCCATTAACTAGGTCCAGATAAGTTTATTTTACAATCCACATATTATTGGTACCATCAGTACCGAGGTCTGCCACGTTCTCGGTTCTGAAGTCAAGTGCAAACAGTTTCTACAGACTTATAGGTAGCCCACCAGCGCCAGAGTTTCTTCAAACCAATTCAAATGCAGTGTCATTAACGAAGTAATCCGCATGTACGAAACGTTTTTGGAGTAGTCGGCATGCCATTTGGTTCACTGACGTAACCTGTTTCTGATGTCATGCGCAAGGGGTTCTCTGGTGCCAATGAATGTCATCAGAGACAAAATGAGATGGATTCAGGGGATCGGTGCAACAGATGTTAATCCACTGCCACATCACGGACCGCAGCATAATCAACAAATGCAACTGTACTAACTGCCTTCAAATAGATTTCCCATACCTCCAGGAAAGTTTTAAAGTATCTTAACAAAGCTTTAATGATCAACATGACACAGTAACGCATAACAAATGCGTTTCCTATTACAAGGCAATCGAGCATTCTCCTGAGTGTTCGATATCCATCTGATATCGAAGTGAAATTGTTGTGTGAAACGAAGGCTGCGCGGTATGAGGACAGCGTGACTAAGATGCCGAGAATGACCAGAATGATGCATACATGCATAACAAAAGATTTCCTTACATAGTAACCAGTATGAGTAAGTTGCAAGATATTTCTTGTCTCCTATTTCCGTCCGATATCGGAGTGAAATCGGTGCGTGAAAAGGCCAGTAGTGTGGGACAAAAACGGTAACCCAAATGGCAAATCGCTGCCAATGTTTGCGCAACAAAAGACTTCACCGTTATCCCGTTCGGATGGCTCATCAGCATTACAGATATAAAATCTTAGAAAATAGCGTCCCTGGGCACTAGGTAAGCGTCAGGTACGTTTCTGTAACAATAAATGGTGTGAAACATCGATAAGAGACCGCAAGCGACAGGGGTAGAGAATAAATAAAGGGTATATTCTCGGTAAAAGGAGGCGCACCGGTGAAGGCGCGATCAAACATACAGAGAAGCATCATCATCATCAACAGCAGTACATCAGCCATTTGAACTCATGCTTCGCTGCCATACAACCATGAGGACCTACGAAATAAAGAATAAGAGGGAGAGAAGGGGGACTTACCTGAAAACCTTAATGCCCTAAGCAAACATTCAGGGTCAAGGCGCCTATACCTTGTGTAGACAATATACCGTCACAAACAGCTGGCTATCGTGCAAAGATAAGGCGGCATGGGCGAGACAGCTTCCTTGCGGCTTTCACTGCCACACGTCATAATCAGCCATTACCCCCCGCAGATAACTAAGCACTAAACACACTTTAAACAGGCAATCCGATTAGGAGACGGCAGCAGACGTGTCACTGGTGTCGGTTGTGAGCCATGTCCTATAAAGTCTCGAGCCAAGCACAAGGCAAGTCGCGTGGACTCCAACCCGGAAGGCAAGACGGACCAACGGCACCCAGTTTGCTTATCAGTGACTTCATTTCCGCTGCCAAATCAACTTCCGTCCACCTCGAGCCTTGCGCCACCCTACACCTGGCAGACAAAACAAGGTCCTCCTAGGTAAGCGGTGATCAGGCATACGTAGCACGTGCCCAAGCCAACGCAACTTATTCAGTGCTATCTGTTGTTCTATGATTATCACTACCCAGTACTCGTCTACGCACACCATCGTTGCGGACACGCTGGTGTCATCCGACTCTAGCAATGTTACGCAGACAACGATCAAAGATTTGAAGGCGCCTCAGATCTTCAGACCGAAGGGGCCAAGTCTCACTACCATACAGCAGAACGGCCCTCACTGTGGCCTTGTATACACGGCCTTTCAGACGGAGGGAAACTCCCTTCTGTCGCCAAAGATGCCGCATGTTCAAGAAGGTAGCTCTGGCTTTTGCAATGCGTGAGCTCACGTCAGTTTCTATGCGCCCATCATTGCTGATGCAGCTAACAAGATAAGTGAAATGATCAACCACCTCGAGTTCCTCGTTAGCAAGCGTCAAGGGGTCATCAAGTGGCTGGTGGTCCTGCAGCAACACGTTGCACTTCGAAGGTGCGAAGTGGATACCAAATAATGGGACCACTCTGGACAGGCTATTCAGGGTTGATTGTGCCGACCCAACATCGTCGAAAAACAAAACGATTTCGTCCGCATAATCTAGAGCAACTAACCTTTCACCAGACAGCACTTCAACGCTTACATCGTGAGATTCCTCAAGTGAACACTCCATCCACGAGGAAATTGAACATAAAAGCATAGCTGTTTTGGAATAGTAAAACATTTCCTTTTAATGAAAAATATAACCGATAGGTTAGTAGTTCAGACAAGTGAGTCTTTTGTCAGATAACAGTGGGACCCAAGAACATGATGGCGCAGGGGCGCGGAAAAATCAATCACAACTATTGTGCCAATATCCAAGTTCAGCGTGGTTTTGCCAAGTGGTGATCCATAAGAACAGGAACCAAAGTAAGAGATCGGTGCAATCGTTGTCCATTAAAAGATAGGAATGTTTGGTGCTCCATCAAAGCATTCTCCATATCAAAATCGGCTACATAGACTGCATGTATAAGTGATGACTGCGCCAGTGTGAAATGGTGGGCTGTGACTTTAGTCATTGCTGACCCACATACGCCGAAGCAACGTGGGGGGGGGCGGTCCATTTTTTCTCACAGTCCGATTTCCGTCCGATATTTGGCCCGTTTCGGACGGAAACCGGTCACTCTGCGGCCACATGTGGTATCAGGGTAAATGATATAATAGTTAACAGTAAAGTACTCTTTTTAATTTGTTTGCACCGTGCTCTGCTTGCATTGCGGCGCATTAGATGATTCCCACTCTCGTATAACGTGTAATGATGATGAGAAAAGCTAGACACATTCGCGGACTGATTGCGAATTAAGTCAATAATGTCGGCCGGTGGCCGAGTGGTCCGCGCGTCTGGTTTGCAACCATAAGATCACCGGTTCGAACCCGCGTAGGGGTGGGCGTCTTCGCGATATATTCAATCCACACGCGACTAGTAGTGGTCGTGTGGCAGCGAAGCGCCGTTATGGCGTACAGCTGACATGTTATTATTTATTATTATAAGTCAATAATCCCCCTAGTTCTTCCAGGACTCCAGTATACCACTACAACTGTAAACTGGACTTTAACAGTCGGAATCGAAGACTGCTGGTCCACAACATATCTAATTTACAGCTCACCTATAGTGTAACGCCTCTGAATTAACGACCAACGAAGCGATAAGCTCTAAGTAGTGCGCAGTTGGATAAACATACCTCACCGTGATACCCAAGGAGATAGTTGTTTTACTTAAGGCAATATGTCGGGACAAGATTCGTATAGGTCAGGTCAGGTCAGGTCAAAATCCGTGGACGATACAGGCTTCCGCCTAACGAGCGTCCAGCTTCTTGTACCGGTAAGCGAACCAGAGCCCCCGGCACTTCGACTTTTGATCGCCTCTCCTTGCCTCTGCAAAAAGGAGACTCAACTCATGCAATGTTTTCCTTAAGCTGTGCACATTGCAAAGTACCACGTGAAGGAAATGGGCACGAACAGATCTGGATCCTGTGCCATCAGGACGGGTTCTGCTATGGAGGCAACTGACCAGGTCGGCACGAGTGAGTAAGTGTCCGCTGGACTGACCTTAGGACACCCCTCCCCGGCCGTCCTAATTAGACACTGTTGGACTATTAAATCACTCAATGCTATTTTCCAACCCAAATACTGTCAAGCTTAAGACGAAATCGATTCAAAAGCTGTAATTAAGCAATAGTATAGCCGTTGAGCTAAACCGAAAACGTCTTTGAGTGACCAAAATTCGTCCTAATTAAAACGACTTGGACATTCAAGATGTGTTCTTCAATGCACTCTTGCCATTTACCGTAATTGCATTTTTTCTGATTGCAAACACCGTAAACCTTAGACCAGGAAGCGATTTCCAACTTGTAAGTACATAACACAATAGCCATTAAACTAAACGGGAGGGTCGGGCATGGAAAATGGTCACCTAAGTAGCCCCAATAGTCCCACGCGCGGTGAAATTACGATTATCTTAAAAAGCAACGCATTTGAAGAAAAGAACGGAGGTGCAGAAGATGCACGTCTAAATGGGACAGCTGGCCGTCCATCTGTTTGGACAGGGGATATACGGCCGATCTGAAACCCCACAAAGCTGTAGCCTTGTTCGTCTCTGTTTTTGAGGGCTTTGATCTTTTTGAACTCAATCCCATCTGTCATTGGTAGATAAAGCTAAACGCTGACATTACTACTCTTAAGCTTGAATGAAAAGCACATTAGCGCCATTGCGTTCGTCCGGGCAGAAAAGGTTAACCGTCAAGACTAAATAAACAGGTACAGCCATGCTAATAGACGACTGTGTTCAGGTTAAATGTGAGAATAAATGTTCATTTAGACCAGAAGAATCCCGAGAAACGAGGACGAGAAGACTCACCACATCAATGATAAAGCAGACACAGAATGCGGAACCATCGACCGAGGTATCCGGGGTCGCGTTACACTCGTAACTCAAGGACGGATACACGAGTATTTAAACAAATCCATAAAATAAATATTTCTGTTTTATTGAACATAAAGTAGAATCCTGCAAAATTTTTTCGTATGTATGTACTTTTTATTGATTATTTATTCTTTTAGCTTGTCCTAGCGAACAAATCAAGCGGCTTCATCAATCAGCACCTACGAAAGCCATTGAGCGGTTAGAAATAAATGAAACCGTCGGCTTGAGACTCTTTGTCTTCAGTACGATAAGCATTTAGAGGACGCAGCCTTTACGACTCCAAAGATCTTCGCTTACGTAAAGAGACAGGGCGGTACAAATTCGTCTATACCGGCTTTACTACGAGTGGACGGGACCCGTGGACATGACGACTATGATAAAGCTTGGATACTTAGCAAACAGTATACCGGGGTTTCTTCTCGTGAGGCCTCTCTACCTCAGCTTGAGCAGGTCACAGAAGTCCCGGAGGATTCTTGCCTAACTGGAATCAGCATAAAGGAGACACATATCTTCGGCTATTGCAAGGGTTAAATCCTTCCATGCTTCTGGCCCCGGTTCAGTTCATCCGATGCTGATGCATGAATTGGCCGCTGAGCTTAGTGGCCCTCTGACATGCGGGTTTGCAATATCGCTCGACATCTTGCCTTACCTTTGGGATGGAAGGAGGCAATCATCTGTGCGATTTTCAAGGGCGGTGAGAGAGCTCGGCCCGCGTACTACCGGCTTGTCAGCTAGACAAGCGTAGTAGTTAAGTTGGTTGAAAATTGGTCAGGGATACGATGGTCAACCAACTGATCAAGTTTCATATTCTCAGTGTGGCACCCCTCGGATTCCGTAAGGGAGTTTCATGTCTGCCAAATTTATTTGTCGCCCTTGAAAGCTGGGCTGAGGCAGTAGTCAGCAGTCACGCTATCAAGGTGTTTTTCGTTGACTTCCCCGAAGACTTTGATACTGTCCCACAGCAACGACTCTCATTACATTTGCGATCGTATGGGATATGTGGAGGCATCCTTACTTCGGTGGCTGCTTTCCTTGAGGGGAAAGAAGAGTGTGTACGGGTGGGACGTAGCCTTTCGCTTAGATAAGCTGTTCTTATTGGCTTTCCGCATGGCTCGGTTCTAGCGCCGTTGCTTTTCGGAATTTATGTCAGTGACCTACGCCAGTAACTTGAACTACCTTCACTAATGTTTGCTGATGACCTCAAGCTCTGGAATATTGGGGACATCCCGGGGGCACCAATTAAATTCAGAGTGCCTTGGATAGGCTCTGGGGTTGGTCAACCTTATGGGTGCTGCCTGTGCATCAAGCGAAATATTCTGTCCTCCATATTGGTAGTGGTAGTCCCCTTACGCGCCATGTACTTTTGGAAGTGGAATTCCTTTTCACAATCAGCAGGTTGCTCCAGGTATCTTACACACCTCAGTGCTTCGCTCTGCGGACAATTGGAGGAAGGCTGCTTGTAGAGGATTCCGCATGATGTGGTTTAATCGCCACTCCTTCTTTGTCCTAACGGCCAATACCTTTGTGAAGTTGTTCGCAGCTTTTGTGCTACCCCACTTATAATACTGCATCCAGACTTGCCCCCTTGTGTTGCAAGGGACAAACTGGAACCGGCGCGGGTTTTGCGAGTGGGTACAAGGTTAGTGCAGGGCTTACAGCGGCAAAGGTATCTCGACCGTTTGCCTAGCTTAGGTATGTACTCAGTGCACTACCACAGAACTAGAGGAGACTTGATCCTCACTTACGGGTAAGGTGGGTCCAGACTTGTCCTAGCTATTTAGTCCCGCCCAGCTGTCTAGTGTCTGAGGGCACCAGTTGAAATGGCTTGCTGACCGGATAAGGGCGGAAATTCGCCTGTCGCGCCAGGTAATTGAAAGCTAGAACGCGCGTTCGTAGCACCTCAATAGAGAGTCTACGTTTGAAGGTTTCGAGTAAAAGTTAGGTGCCCTTGGGTGGCAGTACCCAACCTTTCCCTTCCCCTAACCGACATGCATGTTCAACTTTCAGTTCGTTGTTTTAACTTTGTCCTACACCTCGGCAGTATCATTATTTGGCTGAAATTGCTCCTCTCGTTTTCTTAGCTTACCTTTCACTCTCTTACTTTACATACACCGGCCTGGTAGGGAAGGCTCAGCAGTAAAATTTGAGCGGTATGGCGTTGGTGAGGGTGCGATAGGTCGTTGCGCTAGGCTTTTCAACATCTCAAGCAGGTTTAACAATTTTCGATCCAACAATACACAAAAGAAGGAACATTTACAAGATTAGCATATCGTTCCGGTCCCAACTGAACCTGAACTTGAAGTTCCTACTGGGCAGGATCAATAGAAAGGCCACGCCACTGTTCGAGTTTAAAAGCGTCTTTGATCCAGCCAACGTGTTTCCGAATGTACATGGCTTTCGATATTGACAGACTTGAATGCACTCGACTTACAACCTTCAACTGAGTCATGATTATGCAGTTTTCCTCTGTAACAAAGTTGCCTTGCTAACCATATACGCGTGGTCGTGCTGAATTGACACCCACCGTTTTTGGATCTACCGCTATCAAATCTCGGCGTAACATACTGGGCTTACACTTCTCCAACTCGGAGTTACCAGTGCCAACCAGAGAATCTACCGCTGCCCGGTTCGTTCCTCATACACCTTCGTTGCATTCTTTTCCTTTTTTCCCCGAGTTTGTCACAGGTACAGCGACACACACCAAAGGAATTGTCTACTATTGCGACCACAATACAAAGCACAGTTCCCTTACCTGGACATGAGCGGAAGCTTATAAACCCTTTCACAACTTACTAACCGGACAAATCATTCGCTATCTTGCACTGATACAATTCTTCCGGGGCTTGAACCATTGGGTTCGATTTGCCTAACACAAACTCTTCCACATATCTCTTGCCTGCAGGACTTTCGACTTCGGAAAGCAAATTCACCTGCTAATACAAAGCTTGAGAAATCGGTCATTCTGAGCTCTTCAAGCCGCTTTGACCGCTCAAACGGCCGTGGTTTTTCTATATTTCTAATCAACTTCATTACGTACCCCGGGGGATCTGCGATTACTTCTTCAAAACATCCTATCCTTCAAGACTTCAACATATTTCAGTGTATATCCTTCAGTGACTTCACGTGATTCTGCAGTTAAGCAACACATCATATCCAGATAGAATGTTTAATTCCCGACCTACCGATCTGGCACAGGACTAGATCCAGGCACGCAATGGGCACGCGCCTAACGCATCAGCCAGCAGAAAACTGGGATTCAAATTGACTGAGAATAACGAAGCAAACAAACGTTTAAAAAGAAACAGCCGGTTGCAACTTGCCACTCAATGGATCGGCGGCAATGTTGCAGGAGGTGGTGGGTTTTCGCCTGGCAAGCGTTCTCTCTATAAAAAGCCACAAATGTCCGTTTAACAACATTGCAACGTGGCGAATGCGACTCGACACCGAATAAAGTCACAGCCCATAACTTCACACTGGCAGATCAATTAGCGTCATCTTTTTGGCGTGCTCTTCAATTATCTTCCAATGGATCATTCAGGATTCGCAATCTATTATTTTTCGAGGTACGACTGCAATATATGGCAGAGAGATTATGTCCAAACAGACGGGTCCCGATCCCTCTACAACCAAATCGTCTCGCATCTTCACCATTGCACAGTTCCAAGCATGGACATATGCACAATTTTCTACTGTCACTACACTCGCCATAATATGTCGGTACAGCTGTACATACCTGATAATGCCTCAATTGGCATGCCTCGCATAGTCGAGGATAAAATATTTATTTATTTATTTATTGCTAGTTCAACGAAGGTTACGTAGATATCCAGTCGCTCAACAGTTCTTGTTTTCCAATGTATACCATCTTATCTAATCTTACACGATAGAGTTCTATTAGCGCTATCCGCCATTCCTTTATTTGAAAATCGGACACCCCGATTATTACCTAGCGTACGTTTAGCAGCCATCATCCTAACGCTGTCCAAATTAGTGTGCATTCTACCCCGTGCATCAAAACACTCCGGCAAACCTAGCCCCAAACTGATTGATATCTATTCCGCCAAGTCACAAACCAAAAAGTTCGCGCACTGAACTCAGCCGACTTTGTTTGAAAGTGCGCCCGCCCTCGAAGAATATAGTCAATCGACATCATGTGCCTGTCACAACAAGCTCGGTGCTTCGGCACTGCCTCACAACACAGCAGGAAGGAAAGCTAAGTACACTGTCCACACAGCCGTAGACAAAGGCGTTTTGCGTTTGTAATGGTACTCAAAGACTATTCGAATTAGAGTAGTATGTAGTAACTGCAGTAAGAAAGACCACTTCACTTCACGAACGTCATCCAGTTAAATAGTGCCTGGAATTCCTTCATACGAGGGCGAACGGCAGACAAATTCAATTACTGAGGCAAACTTCACAAGTTCCACATGCTGGTCGAACAACCTATCGTGGTGCCGGATGGGCGTTACGAGTTTGGCCCTTCCAGCAAATACTATAGCAAGAGTGTTCCGGGACATGGTGGGCTTTCGCCGGACACGTGTTCTTCCTATATAAAACCACATACGCCTGCCCAGCAACACCGTGAGGTGGCGGTGGTGTCTCGCCACAAAATAAAGTCACTGCCCCGTAGATTTCGGAATAATCCTTTCCAAACATACAGACACCAGTCTTCTGCTCGCACGTTGCTGACGATAGCAGAGCTTCAAGAATTTATCAACCAAAGTACAAGCACAACCTGCTTGGCGGCATACGGTTTCGAATTTTTCTGTCAACTTGACCAGCCACAGGACGCCCGCGCCTACAGAAGGACCATGGGTGGCTTGCGCTGCACCACTCACACCTCCATCCACAAACCCCATATCCAGTGTAAACCCGAAGAAATAAGACCGAGCGGCTTGTGGATGGGAACCACGTTTCATTAATGGAGCCGGCCCACACTCCTTCACAGGCAAACACAAGCACGCTGTATTTGAGAATCAAAAGCACACAAGGCGGTGGCTGGACCGTAGTCCGCTCC